AGTTCACGTGGTCGGCCTGCTAATGTCGCTGCCCTACACCTTGCTCGTCCTGGCTCTCGACAATGGTGTCGGCCGCACTCCTGCGATGGGCTGGAACAGCTGGAATACGTTTCGTTGTGAGGGCCTGGACGAAGCGCTCATCCATGAGGTCGCCGATGCGATGGTTTCCACAGGGCTTCGCGATGCGGGCTACCAGTACGTCAACATAGACGACTGCTGGATGGACAAGAAGCGGAGTGGAGACGGCCACATCGTTGTCGACCCTCGCCGTTTTCCAAGCGGCATGGCGGCGCTCGGCAAGTACATCCACGAGCGGCGGCTCAAGTTTGGAATCTACTCGTGCGCAGGAGAGACGACGTGTGAGGGGCTGCCGGGCTCATACGGCCACGAACGCGAGGACGCGGCCGATTACGCGTCGTGGGGTGGCTGGCTTCCTGCCCGACCCCGCGACACGTGCACGACACGTCCATGCGATGCATATGCACCCGAAATACGTCCGTGACACGTCCGTGACACGTCCACGACGCGTCCATGACAGGAGTTGACTACCTCAAGCTCGATTTTTGCGGCATGGAGAAGGTGCCGACGGCGGAGAGGCAGCCGGAGCGGCGGTACAGCGTCATGCGCGACTCGCTCAACGCGACGGGGAGGCCGATGCTGTTTTCGCTCTGCAACTGGGGCGGCGGGCGCCCGAACCGCTGGGGGCACAACGTGGGCCACAGCTGGAGGACGGGGCGGGACGTGTTTGCAGTGTGGGATGAGGCGGCGGCGCGGAAGCTGCACAAGTTGCCGGGGTACCTCCAGTCCATCATGACGGCGGTCGAGGATGCCGACGCGGCGCAGCGAGCCGTGGACGGCCCCGGCGGCTTCAACGATCTCGACATGCTCGTGGTCGGCCTCGACGGCATGACTCCCTACGGCATCGTCGACCAGTGCCCGCCCCACCTTCCAAACGGCACGTGCGCGCCTGGGCAGTACATCTCGCGGCAGCAGTGGGGGATGGTCGGCGGGCTCACCCGCACCGAGCAGCGGACCCACTTCGCGCTCTGGTGCATGCTCTCCAGCCCCCTCATGCTCGGGAACGACCCGCGCCGCATGAGCGCTGCCACGCGCCGCATCCTCACCTCCAAAGGCATGCTCGCCATCAGCCAAGACCCGCTCGGCGTCGCGGCGCGGCGCGTGTGGCGCAACGGGCCGCTCGCGATCTGGAGCAAGCCGCTCGCCGACGGCGCGCACGCGCTGCTGCTTTTCAACGGGGGCGAGAAGCCGGCCGACATCACCGTCCGCTGGAGGAGAGACTTGGCCGACGCGTCCCGCGGGCACGAGTCGCACGTAGCGCGAGAGCCGGCCTGCAGCAACGCGGAGAAGGACGCGACGTGCGCGAGCTGGGCGCGCGGCGGCGAGTGCGACAAGAACGCGGGCTTCATGAAGGCCAACTGCCAAG